ACTGGGGTTACTCTAAAGCCTTATATTGGATCTTTTCCTTTTTCTAGAATGACTACCGTAAGTTGTTGGCTGTGGAACTTCAGAAAATAGAAAAGGAACTCCAAGGAAAACAGGGGTCTCGTTCATCAACACCCAGAGTCCTGGGGGACCAACCAATGGCCTGTGCCTCTGGGGCTTCCCCTGCTGACATTCCACCCATGGCAGCCATCATGGGGCTTGTGGAGCTTGGGATACCACGTGGTATGTGCCTGACTATAAGGGGGTGGCAAAAATTGGAACGGGAACGATGGCTGATATCGTATTGGCATGAACGCACCTATGAAAGGCTGATGATGTCATCCGTTGGGATTATCTTACTGGGAAATTAAACATCACCTGCATTTGTCTCAAGGCTCCCATGTAATTCCTTTCATCCTCAGGAATCCGTGGGATAGGAGAAGGGAGATTTTTTAATCACCAAAATTGCTACAGCTGGATTTTTAGTAATTAAAGACATCCTCCTCCTGTAACACAGCTCCCATGGCTTCCCAAGAAGGAAATGGATTACATGGGAGCTGCAGAGCAGGAAAAGGAAGTGTTTCTTTTCTGAAAATTCACCCCAGTGGATGAAATTGTCTGCCTTCCACTGGTTCTGCCACTCTGACAGTTCAGCCAAAAGTTGTATATCTTGATATTAAAAATAGCAATCGGGAACTCGTTTTTTGGTTTTCATCAAGGTGGTTTTCTATTGTGTATCTCAAGTCTTTGTTTTTCATCATCTTTCTTCTTCAGACGGAGCAATTCAAGGGGGTCCTCTTTCAGGTTAAACCATTGCACTGGCCCTGTGACGGACTAGCTACTGAGCGCGAGAGCATGGATGTGTGTGGAAACCTGAGGTTTGCCAACCTTATGTTCTTTGTTTGCTTACAAAACAGGCCCTGCCCTCCTTTCTGGCCCTCAGAAGAGGTGCCCTGGAGGAGTTGAATCCTCAGCCAATCCAAACATGGAGGACCCCCAGCCTTCACCACCTTCCGGCTTGGATGACACCAGGAGACCCGGAAGACGGGACCCTCAACAACCACCAGAAGAGAAGAGACATCCAGGGAGCTCGGAGGATGCCCTTGCCGAATGCGATCAGGATGTGACCCAAACGGAAGCTTCTGAGCCTCCCCCTAAAAAACAGAAAGCAGACCCCACCGCTTGCACCCAACGGGCCATCTTAGTTCAGGAACTACTGGCTGCCTACAAAAATTACGCCAACTATGTTACCATTGCTTTAAATCAGGATCGAGACAAACTGGACAACCTGGTGGTCAGGTTGCTGGGTCCCTCAAACCAGCCAAACCTCTTAAAAGAGGCAGAAGGTGCCAGGGCCCTGATGAAGACCTTAAAAAATACCCTTGTCCTTCTGAAGTGCCTCCGGGATGAAGACCCCAGACTGTAAACAGCCTACGATCTGCTTCTGGCTTGTGAGGTGTCATGCTCTGCTTTTATCAGGGCCAAGCTTTTTCAAATACTAACAAATAAATTGATTATTTATTTATTTTGTCTGTTTCGAATGGATCCGTCTCTCTTCCTCCAGTGAGGCCAATGCAGTTAACACCAGGAAGGACAAACAGTCATGATTTTTAAATACAGTGGTGCCCCGCTTGACGACGATAATCTGTTCCAGGTATATCACTGTTAAGCGAAATCGTCGTCAAGCAAAAACAAAACAAAACATTGGAATGCATTGAAAACTGGTTAATGCGTTCCAATGGGGAAATACCTCATTGTCCAGCGAAGATCACCCATAGAGAACCACCAATCAGCTGTTTAAAATCGGTCTTCCGAAGCAAGGGTCCGGAAAACAGTCATTTTTTGAAGGGAAGCCATTTTGCGGAGCTGGAAAAAACATTGTTTTGTGAACAAATGGTTCACGAAGCAGGCACCTAATCGACGTAAAGCGAAAAAAACCCTAGGAACCACCACTGTTTTGCGATTGCTATAGTGATTGCAAAAAACTCGTCGTCAAGCTGGGTCATCGTCAAGCCGGGTCGTCGTCAAGCGGGGCACCACTGTACTGTTATTTCCCTCATTGTCTTCCTTCAGGCAAACTTAGGTTGGCCAGTTCTAACCCCACAACAAGCCGGCGAGGCTTGCAAAGCTAAGTGGTGGAAGTATCTAGGGAATATCGTGCCTAGGATATGGATTTGGGTTTTCTTAAATCCAGATTCTCTGGGCGAGTGCCCTTTTTGAGCACAAAAAGTCCCAGATTCGGTTTCCAGAAAATACATCTCTCTAAAAACCCTGCATGGTTGGTGCCAGCCAGGGTGTTGACCAGGTGGAAGTAGCTCACCCTGGCCTTGCGCACGTGTGGGCTGATCGATGTACAACTCCCATTATCCCCAGCAAGGACAATGGGAACCGGAAAGGCAGAGAAGGTGGTGAAATTCCTTTCTGGACCGTTAGCTCCCAGTCTGTCTGACTCTTCCTCTTTCTGGAGCAATCCCAGCCTGAATGACCTGCCTTTCCTCCTTAGGAAACCAGTTGGTTTGGCACAGCAGCGCCCCCCAGATGTGAGGGGTCTGGCTGGAAGTGTCTTGAAAAAAAATTATAATTAAAATTACAGCCATTAAAACGGTGACATAATTAAACTATTTAAAATAATGGAAAAAATAAAGAGAAAATGGCAAAAACAAGGTGGCACCTTAAATATGACCTGTTACACATATTTTAATGGGAGCTTTTGTGGCGAAACGCACTTCCTCAGACATAATAAGGGAGAGAGATACTGTAGAACATGATGAATATTTTATACATGGCATCAAAATACTGAGATCATGGTTGGTAAGAAAGTCAACAGGTACCTTTTAACAGTGTGTGTGGGGGTGGGGTAGCCTCATTAATATATAGGTGTATTCCATTGAAGCTTGTGAGGATGCAAGAACTTTTTGTCAACATCATTCTTAAACTGGGGCCTGGTGGCCAAAGGCTAAAAAAGTAACTTCTCTGAGCTCTGACCTCTTCCCTGGGGTCAGAGGGGTTGTGGTCACTGGCTTAGTCCTGCAGATGCCCCCCGCTTCCCAAATACAAATCAGGGAAACGGTGGTTATGAGAGACCTTCACAGGAGAGGGGCCTGTTTGATTCAGCAGATGTTGTCCAGAGGTGGAAATTATGAGAGACCTTCACTGGAAAGGGGCCTGTTTGGTTCAGCAGATGTTGTCCAGAGGTGGAAGTAAGCCTGAAGCTCATCCTGTCAAGAACGGGGCAAATCGGGCGCTTTGATTTGGGCGGGGCCTGCCCCATCCTGTCTCCTGTGTACCCCTTTCTCCCAGCGCTCCGGTCCCTATGCCACAACTCCAGCGCCATTTACACCATCTGGCAAAAGTTGTTTCAATGTGCATTCCACCCCACAGCGCTATAGCACTCTCCGGTTGGTTTACACTACGTAATTAACTAAACGATACTTTGCCCCCTCCCCCAGAGAGCGGGGTACACAATATACTGACCCCAAACCCAGAAGGATGGAAGCCTGAGTCAGCCTTGAACCAGCTACCTAAACTTGCCAGGACTGAACTCGGGTTATGAGCAGAGGTGTGGGATTCTTCTTGCGAGAGCCAAGAATCTGAGACTCCTATGTTGGATGGACTTCTGGCTGTTGTAATCCCCTGGTTTCCCTTTTCCCTCAGAAAAGCTTTTCCCTCTTTGAAGAAACTGCAGCCCCACTAAGTGCTTAGAGAGGTAGTTAAGGTCAGGTATGTAATAAGTTAATGGTTTCTACACAATGTGCTCTTTGGTTTTATATATGAAGAACTGTGAGTAAATAGAGCATTTTATTTCTCGTTGCCAGCGTCTCTTGAGTGGATGGATGAAGAGGTAAATTAATCAAGTAAAGAGTAGTCTACTGAGGGGAGACTCGTCGCTCAATCTGCTCTGTAGGAACCTGCTCGAACCATTTTATCCAGTGAACAATTAGAGGAAGTTTATTTTCAAGCCACACTCAATTTCTCACACACTCTGCTCAATACTAAGCTGCGCCTTTTCCTGACTTAACCCCTGATTCTGTTGGCCCCACAGGGAAGGACAAGCATAGTAAACAGTGGCTCTGGAATCCCAGCCCTGGGTGGGCGATCCCTGGGAGAGGCTTCTTTTGATGATCTTGTCTTTGTCAACAAATAGAATGGGTGATCACAACACCCTTCCTAGTACTGTCCAGTGACGAAATGGCAGAATCAAAACCTCACACATTCATCACAGGTGACTGAAATGCAAAATATCCTTGAGGGCAGAGGATTCAGCCAAGACATGGAGGAGGAAGAGGAGGAAGTGTGTGGGGATATAAATGGAGCATTGGGAGAGAACATATCAAAGAAAATATTTCTCGACAGGAGGAGGAAGAGGAGGAAGTGTGTGGGGACATAAATGGAGCATTGGGAGAGAGAGAACATACCAAAGAAAATATTTCTCGACACAGTGGGCTGTTAGTCTGTGGAACTCCTTGCCACAGGATGTGGTAATGGCATCTGGCCGAGATGTCTTTAAAAAGGGGATCGGACAAAGGCCTGGAGGAAAAGTCCATCGCAGGTTACAAGCCATGATGGGGGATGTATAATCTTCAGGCTTCGAAGGAAGGTACCTCCAAAGGCCAGATGCAGGGGAGGGGGATCAGGAGAGAGATCTCCAGTTGTCTAGTGCACTGGTTCTTAACTTTGGGTTACTCAGGAGTTTTGGACTGCAACTCCCAGAAGCCTTCACCACCAACTGTGCTGGCTGGGGTTTCTGGGAGTTGCAGTTCGAAAACATCCGAGTAACAAAGGTTAAGAACTACTGTACTCCCAGAGGCATCTGGTGGGGCCACGGTGAGATACAGGAAGCTGGACTTGATGGGCCCTTGGCCTGATCCAGCCGGGCGCTTCTGATGTTCTTATGAGGGTGGTGGCAGTGCCACTGCCTCAGCCCTTGGTTCGAATCCGTCCACCCCTTCTTTGAGAAGCCAGAAAAAAAAAACTCCATTTCTCATGAAAATATTTATTCTCTCAGCTATATAAAGAAGGGATCCTGCACTCAGGGATGATCTCCAGGGGCAGATTTGTCTTCGCCCACGACGGAGGTGCGGGAGAAGACTTTGGACCAGGTGTTGGAGACTCTCCTGAGGACCGACGAGCGCCGGCGCTCGGGCACCACGGCATCTGAGCTGGTGACCTTGATGACCTTCCCGTCTTCCACCTCTGAGGAAACAAACGGAAGGAGGAGGAGAAAGCTCTGGTTAGGGGATTGGCAGGGCTTCAAAGGCCACCTCAGAGCCATGCCTTTCAGGGCGGGCGGGGGGGGCATCATTCTGTCATGAAAGGGAGAAGCAGGAAGTCCACAATGATGAGAAAAGATTGAGGTGTCACACAGTGGCTTTCTTTACACCAGTCTCCTTTGCTGAGCTCCGTGGTACTCAATTTATCGACCTCGCAATGACAGAAGGCTGGGTCAACCGCGAGCTGGCTACCTGAATCCATTGGGGTCGAACCATTACCTCACCAAGAGCTTAAAGGTGGCTCTCCACAGCCGCAGAAGAGACTGGTGGCTCATGCTGAAACCCAGAAGCCCTCCTCTTTTGGACTAATCAAACCCTTTGGCCAGAAAATAAGTTTGCTTCCACAGCACGCCTGGTCTCCTCAGACAGACCAGAGGAAGCGCCTCTTATCTGTCCAGTGGTGGTGGTTATCCCAGAGTTAGACCAGCTGAGAGGTCCCCACTCTCAACCCCTCTCGCAAGGGTCAGGATCCAACCTATCGGGAGCATCACAACTTACCTGAGGGCTGTTCCGAGACCGAATCCTGGATTTTTTTGTCCTGATAGACAGACGTGATCTGCAGGAGGAGGAAAAAAGTCAGTTGCTGAGGGAAAAGAGGGGGCCTCCTTCTGGATCAGACCGTTCACCCATCTCGCCTGAGGGAAGAGAGGCTGCCTGAGGAGGTAGGCAGCCATTCTGCTGGAAGAGGGTGAAGCAAGAGGGGCTCTTCCCAGCTCTGCTTCGGCCCAACTGGAAAGTGAGAGTCCAGCTAGACCAGCGGTTCCCATCTTTGGGTTCCCATGAGTTCTTGGACTACAACTCCCAGAAATCCTGTCCACCACAGCTAGTGGTGAAGGCTTCTGGGAGTTTTAATCCAAAAACATTTGGGGACCTGAGGTTGGGACCCACTGAGCCAGAGATCTGGGGAGTATCCATTCAGCATCAGGGGAGAAAGACAACTTGTGGGCTATTTTCCTCCCCTCTGTGTCTTGTCTTCCAGCAAGCTTTGTTTTGTGATTGGTCAACAGAAGGTAAACATGGGCTTCATTAAAAAAAATGGGCGGGCTAATTGCAGGGGCATGTGCATTTCCCACAAGATCTAGTCTGACCCTCAATCGGGAACCATTCACTCCATTGCCATCTACCATACGCCAAGTGCACTACCACGGATCTATATACTGCCAGGGATCTGGGAGAGGAAATCTGGCATGGGGGTGGGAGGAAGAGGTCCACAGGTGGAAGATGATGGTGTGCTTCCTTGCCTTTTATAAGTCCCACATTTGAAAGAGGGCAATTGTAGGAAGAACACATCACCCAGAAGCTTTTACCTCTAAATGTCCAGATGTCTCCTCTGTGTCCCGGGACAGATGCATGCCAACCACTACTGGAAGAAATTTGGGGAGGGGGAAACACCATGATGAGTCAAGGATGGGTGAAATGTGCCAAGGGGGGAGACAGGCCGCCCACCGGGACATTCAACAATAGGCTCAAGTTACAGGAAACCAGATTTCAGCTGAATATCAGGAAAAACTTCCTAACTGTTAGAGCAGTATGACAACGGAACGGAACCTGTGAGCAGTACGACAATGGAACCTGTGACCTCAACAGGGGGTGAGCACTCCAGCACTGGAGGCATTCAAGAGAAATGTAGAGAACCATCTGCCAGATATCCTTTGATTTGGACTCCTGTGTTAAGCAAGGGGTTGGACTCAATGGTCTCATCGCCCCCTTCCAACTCCATGATTCTATGGCTTTCCTTCAGGGAGATGGTGTCCCAGCCCCTGAATCCTTGCGCACAGAGCGATAATACCCCAGGACTGCTTAGGGCTGGATAGCAACTCACTCGTGCGAGAGCAGCCTTTTCTACTTGGGTTCTGCATCAGGGCAGCTTCTGAAAGGGGGTCCAAAGCCAGCAACTGGCAATGCCCACCCTCCACCCCCACCCCCCCAAAACCTTGAGGCTGCCACTGCAAACTCTCCCCAAAAATGAACCCCGACAGTCACCTTTTTCCATGGACGTCTCGTTCCTCTGGCTGAAAAGGAAACAGAAGCGTGGGTGAAAAGGCAGCCATGTTAGCGAGTTGCTGGATAGCTCAGTGGTTTCGGTCTCTGGCTGTGGAGCCAGAGGTTGGGAGTTCGAATCCCCACTGGGCCGCCTTGAGAGGGGCTGGACTTGATGATCTAGAGGGTCCCTTCCTGCTCTGCAGTTCCAAGATTATTCAATTAGACTAACTGGGTTTCTGCTTGATTTCCAAAGAGCCCCAGTCCCCCCAGAGCACTCCCTCTGCCCAAGAGATGCTGGAGGTGAGTGTGCCAGACGAAAGGCAGGTGCGACTGGGCTTTTTCCACGGGGATCACAGGCCGAGACATCCCCACAGCCCCTTGCCTTGTCTGAACCGCCGCTGGGGAGAGTCACATTTCCCTTTCTTGCTTTCTGACAGAATGAAGAAGAGGAGCAAAGCTCTCCTCACCTCATGAGGAATCTTACAAGGACCAGTAGAGTTATAACTCACTGCTACTTGTGTAAATTGCTGCTTCCTTTCAGCCACCCCTAAAGCACAGCAGTGCTTAATTTAATGGCTAATGGCACGGTGATTGTCAATGTTGGAAATGTATTGCAACCGATGTACTATGCCTTTAAGACGTTTTGCCTGGGAGGGACCTCTCTAGGCTGGGGCGAATGTCAATCAATCCAGCAGTAACCAATTGTTCCCTCTCTGCCTCAGAGTTCGAAGAGAGCCCCACCCCCTTACTCAAGACTTCTTTTCACCTCTCTTTCAAGTCAGGCATCCAGTGGACAGTGGACAATGATAGTCTGTCCAACAGTCTGAGTTCTGTCAGCCGTGTCGTGAGTCAGTTAGGAAGCTAATCAATCAGTTAAGCTCCGTTCATGTAGCCAGTCATTATTTTTTCTAAGGAATGCTCTTTGTTTGGATCGGTTCAGAATGGTGAGTAAATGGAAAACTTTTTATTCTTTCTCTTACCAGTGTCTCTGAGTTAAGACAGTAAGTCCCAGTTGAGGAGTACTAAGAAATAAGGGGTGGTCCACTCTGTGGGGAGACCTGAAGCTAATTCTGCTCCGTAGGTCCCCAAACTTTTTCCACTGCATAGTCTTTAAGCCAGAAAACTTCATATTCTGCCGAAAGCTAGCTGCTTTCATAGGCCATATTTTGGGACAGAAAGGCTGTTGAAAGGCTCCTGTCTTTGGGGCACTAGATATCTCCTCAGGACCCCATTCGGTGGCCTGCAATTCACGTTGACCACCCCCACTTTTCCCCTCACCCACAACGGATGGGTTCTGGGTTGCGGAGCAGCCCCCCCTCCAAGGAGCACCACCCATTATAGACCAGGATAAACGAAGTCCCCCCAGTTACCTATTGCTGTCTAAAGCCTCCGTCTGAATGCTGGCATCGGAGGCCTTGACAGGAGGGCTCTTGATGGGGTCCGGGTGGGGGGTGCTGGACACGGAGACCTCTTCGTCCACCTGGAACAGAGAGGCTGCCTTTGGGTACAAACTCCTCATTGCCAGCATTTTGCTCGCCACGTACTTTTGGAAAGCAAAGGCCCCAGAGAGAGGCAAACCCTACTTCTTGGCTTAGGCATCATCTGCCAGTCATATTCTCCATTCCCCACCCCCACCCCCATCCCAAAGATGTCCTTGTCAACCCGTCCTTGAAAGAAGGAGAAGGAAAGCAAAAGGAAGAGGGGGAGAATCTTATTTGTGCCGACGCTTCAGTGGTAGGGAGCTGGCTTCGGACTCGACGGGTCGCGCTTCCCTTAATTGCCCTGCTATGCTTTTCCAACCCAATTAAACAAATACCAGATCCAAATGATTTTAAAAGTCTTTTTGCCTTCAAAACTTACAAGCAAACATTCCTCTCAGGCTACTGTGAGCTCTACCAAATCTCCAAGAGAGCTTGAACCCAAAATGTTCTCAACCACTGCTCAGAGGGGCACCAAACGGTTTACATGTGGAGGATGGGTCAGGCAAGGAGGAGACACATATCCCCTGCCTCTCATTTCTGCCACCATTGCAGAGAAGGTTCCAGTACGAAGCTCTGACTTTTTCCTGGTTGGGCTGAAGTGGACCCTTCCTTCCCTGGGGCTCCCATCCCCTCCCAGCCTTCCTTCCCTCCCCTCGGCGCAAGCGTCCACCAAGGAGATGGAGGGTCTCTGGGAAGCCCAGTTCATCTACCACATTACCCGTTGGAGCGTCTTCCCCCAATGTCATCTGCCTGACCCACCAGATCTTCTCAAGCCAGGCTCCTCCGTGTAGCCACCTTGAGAGAGGCCCAAAAGTCATCTACTAGAGGGAGGGCCTTCTTGGTGGTAGCCCCAAGGTTATGGAATCAGCTCTCAGAGGAGCTATGCCTGCCCCCTAATCCTTGTATACATTTAGGAAGCAGCTAAAAACACTATTGTTCAGGGAAGCCTTTCACATTGACCCCGGTTGAATGCCTCACCTTCTTTTGCTTCAGTTAGAAAACTGGTTCAGTGTCATGGGTTATTTACATTTTTCAGGCTATGCTTTACTATAGTTTGCCGTTTAGTGTTTTGTTCTGCGGAGTTGGTTTTAACTCTCTGTAAACTGCCCAGAATAGTACTCTAGCAAAAAATGGGGCAGTATATAAATAAAAGTAATAAATAAATAAATAAATCCACAGAGTGGACAAGGGCGGCTTTGTTAGCAGTGCCCGGCAGGTTAGCCAGAGGATGCCACAAATCCTTAAGGAAAAATGGACGGATACCTGTGTTTTCTGGAGCTGAAAACAGCAACCACACTTTGTGGGCCCTGATACGCTAACAAATTCTCTGTGGCTTAAGCCTTCATGGACCGCACACCATGGGAGCAAATGCTAAATAAACTGTGCGAGTCTTTAATTGGTCAGAAGACTCTTCTGTCCTTGTTTTTCTCCCCCCACTCAAGAATCCATTATGGGTGAAGCACTCAGAGAACGGATGAACAAAGGCCCTCAAATCTAAGAACCAGCCCTCCTCACACACAAAACACCAAAACCTACCTCTGGTATTTGGCTCACGAAGGACTGGGTCGTAATGGAAATGTGCGGCAGAGTGCTGGAGATGGAGCTTTCTTTCCGGTCGCTGCGGTCGCTGCTCGCACCGGAGATAGTGATGGATGGGAAGCCTCTGCCCGGGGCCATGCTCTTTTTCTGGGTGAGGCTGGACCCTCTGGAATACTCACTTGGACTGTACTGTTGCCGGGGGGGGAGAGCAGAATTGCAGAATCCACGAATCAGTGGTGCAGTTGGAGTCACCCGAGGGCCATCTAGTCCAGCCCTCTGCCACTCCAAAAGGGGGGGGGGTTGGAATACCACAGAATGGCCACACCTCTTTAGATCAGGAAAAACTTCTTAACTCTTAAGAGTAGTATGACAAAGGAACCATTGATCTCAGGAAGTGGTGAGCGCTCCTACACTAGAGGCATTCAGGAGAAAATTGGAAAACCATCTGTTGGATCTGCTGTGATTTGGACTCCTGCCTTGAGCAGGGGGTTGGACTCGATGGCCTTGTAGGCCCCTTCCATGATTCTAAGATTCAATCCCATCTGGAACCCCCTCAGAGGAGCTGAGTAGATTTGGGGGCGAAGGAGAGGTTGCCTCACACACCCAGCTCAATTCTCCAAGGAGAAATCTAGGAGAGAAAGCTCCATCCTCCAAGGAATCTCTTCCCACCTCTCCACAGCGTGTGATCCCTGAGGCAGTTGGTAAAGGTAAAGGTTCCCCTTGACAATTTTTGTTCAGTCATGTTCGACTCTAGGGGGCGGTGCTCATCCCCGTTTCCAAGCCATAGAGCCAGCGTTTTGTCCGAAGACAATCTTCCGTGGTCACATGGCCAGTGCGACTTAGACACGGAACGCTGTTACCTTCCCACGAGGTGGTCCCTATTTATCTACTCGCATTTGCATGCTTTCGAACCGCTAGGTTGGCGGGAGCTGGGACAAGCGACGGGCGCTCACTCCGTCGCGTGGATTCGATCTTACGACTGCTTGGTCTTCTGACCCTGCAGCACAGGCTTCTGCGGTTTAGCCTGCAGCGCCACCACGTCCCTCTACAGTCACCTTGTCCTTAATTCCACCCGCCCACTTGTTCGCTTACCACAGACGCAGTGCTGTCCGTTGGGGGTGCCGTCGGTGGGAAGAAGAAAGAGCGGTGCTCCGTCAGCACCTGCTCCTCTTCGTCCGTCTCACTGTCCTCCATGGACGGGCTTCGGCGGTGCTGGTCCTCATTGATGTCGTGCACCACCAGGCGCAGAATGAGGTCCTGCTTGCTCTCCACATCCTTCAGGAGCTCCACCCTCCGGATGTCCGGCTTCACCAGGCTTTGGAAGGAGTTCCTGCAGACGGCCTGACGAGAAACGCGGGCAAGAAAGACCACCTTGTGAAACCTCTTTTGCATTCACAGAAGACCACGATGAAGAACCTCTTTTACCTCCTGTCTGGCAAGGGAGGGGGCAAGCTAGAAAGGAGCAAAGTCCTACCCACTCCTGGTAGGAGGGAAAGGGTTAGAGCGATGCCATTTGAATGAGACAAAAGGGACAGAATTCTATGGAATTCTGTGGTTTCATTTATCTGAAAATATTAAAAATATTTTTAAAAAATCCAGAAAAAAAATGTATTTCTCCCATGTATTACCAGAACTGGCCACTAGGGGAATCAGAGACCATGCTATGTATTCTTCAACAGCAAGAACACATTGCATGGTCTCTGGCTCCTTCTAGTGGCCAGTTCTGGTAAATAAATCCTGAAAATACGTATTTCTATTTTTCTTTTCTTTTAATATTTTTAATATTTATTAATATTTTAATATTTTTGCTTTTAATAATTTTAATACAGTGGTGCCTCGCAAGACAAAAGTTATTCGTTCTGCGAGTAGCATTGTCTTGCAAAATTTTCATCTCGCGAAAAGTGGTTTCCCATAGGGATGCATTGCAATTCATTCCTATGGAGACCTCGCAAGAGGAAAATAATTCATTTGTCTTATGAGGCATCAGTCTTGAGAAAAACATTCATCTTGTGAAGCACAGCCATAGAAGAAGCCGTCTTGCGAGGCACCACAGCACTCGCAAAAACCATTCGTCTTGCGGGTTTTTTTGTCCCACGAGGCGTTCGTCTTGCAAGGCACCACTGTATTTTCAGATAAATGAAACCACATGTGCTAATCCTGCAGATACAAGGCTCCTACGGTACTTCACTGCTAATGACAGTGCATAGTGAGTACGTTCCTTGCCTGACTGCACCCTCCCACGAACAGAAGCTGGCCAATGAAAGGACAGGCTAACTGCCAATAACACAAACTAACCGAGTGTTAATGCAGCACCTTCTTTGAATGAAGGAGCAGCAGGAGAGGCAAAAACTTCTGGGTGGAAGCTACTAATGAAAAGTGCAAGGGCCCTCAGAAGCCTCACCGGCTTCCGTCAGCTGTCTTAGTTTCTCAAAGAACAGATCACCTGGAAAACCAGACAAGATGACATGAGGATGCAAGAATTTGGCAATCTCAAAAAAAAAGGTAAGAGGAAAAAGTGGCTGTTTGGGGGGGTTGATTTAAATTGTTTTAAAATACAGTAGGACCTCCTTATCCATGGGATCAGTATCGACTGATTCACTTATTCATGGTCTGAAAAAATTAAAAGAAAAATTCCAAATACAGTGGTGCCTCGCTTGACGAGGATAATCCATTCCAGCAAAATCGCTGTAGAATGAAATCCTTGTCAAGCAAAAATTAAAAAAAAACCATTGAAACACATTAAAAACCAGTTAATGCGTCACAGTGAGCTAAATACCTAATCGTCCAGCGAAGATCCTCCATAGGGAGGCCATTTTCCGGTGACTGTACAGCGAAAAAGCCTTCATAAAACAGCGGGGAGCCATTTTGCACAGTGGGCGGCCATTTTGAAACCCGACAATCAGCTGTTTTCTGATCATTGTAAAGCGAAAAATCGGTTCCCAAAGATGAGAACCGATCATCGTAAAGTGAATTTTTCCTATTAAAACATCGTTTTGTGATCGCAAAAACATTGTCGTTAAGTGATTTCCTCATCTAACGAGGTAATAGTCAAGCGGGGCACCACTGTATATATATTTCTAACAATGTCATTACCAGAACTGACTACAGTGGACCCTTGACTTACAGATGGCTTGACTTACAGACTTTTTGACTTGAGAACCGCCTTCCAATACGGATTAAGTTCTCAAGTCAAGACCCCACTGTACTAGAAGGAGCCAGACACTGTGCTATGTACAGTGTTTGCTATTACAGTAGTACCTCGGTTTACGATATTAATGCGTTCTACGGGACATTATGTAAAGCAAAAAATTTGTAAACCGTAACGCGGATTGCCATAGGAACGGGGGGCGGCGCTATAAACCGCCAGGCACAATGCATCCTGGGGAAACTTTCTCTGTAAATCGAAACAAAAACAAAAAAAACAAAAATGTACAGCAATGGCATGAAAATTGAATTTGTTACATCCTTTACAGCATTTACATATACAGTAGTACCTCGGTTTATGAAATTAATGCGTTCTACGGGACATTATGTAAAGCAAAAAATTTGTAAACCGTAACGCGAATTGCCATAGGAACGGGGGGCGGCGCTATAAACCGCCAGGCACAATGCATCCTGGGGAAACTTTCTCTGTAAACCGAAACAAAAACAAAAAAAACCAAAAATGTACACTGAGGCATTATTTTCAATGGATTTCCATTTGTAAACCAAAAATTATGTTAGCTGAGGCGTTTGTAAACCGAGGTACTGCTGTATAGCTAGTAATCTGTGATTAGCTATAATCTGTGTTTTTCAGCATCCTCAGGCTGACGTAGAACCAATTCCAATGGAGATTCGACCTACAGACTTTTCGACCTGCAGCCACCGTTCCAGTACGGATTAATTCCGTAAGTAGAGGGCCCACTGTAGAACCAATTCTCCTGTGGATATGGGGGTCCTACTGTATATTAATTCAGTGATTTGTTTTTCTACAGTAATATGTTTTTAACAATGTTTTAACATACTGTATTTTTAGCCACATCATTTTTTATTAAACCATTTTGTATCCCAAGGCAGGAGACTAATTAATTTTTTTTAAAAAGGGAGACCTAATGTAGAACTGTTGGATAGCTCGGTAGCTTAGGTAGAGGTTGGGAGTTTGATTCCCAACTGGGCTTCCTTGAAAGGGGCTGGACTTGATGATCTCTAGGATCCCTTCCAGGGTCTGCGGTTCTAAGAACGTTGTTAATATTATTACAGAGACAACCCAGGCCATTTACCTTCTACCCAGGCACTGCACAGCATATAAATGGTCCAGAAGGCAAAATGCATTCAATGGAAACTCAGCTCTGGCAACAGAGGTCTTACTACGTACCTCCCTTGGCTTCACGCCGAGGCGCCCAGCCATGTCCAAGGAAGGGCGCCGTTCTTTCTTCTTGTTGGCATCCGCCACGGCCACATTGGCACAGACGCTCTTGCCCGAGGCAGAGACCCTCCGTAATTCCATCAGGCTCATGCCGGTCTTAGAGATGCACATCCTCTCCAGCTTATTCAGAGGCTCCGTTTTGATGGAAAGCACCGCTAAGTGATCTGAAACGAGGTTCGGGTCGATCTTCAAGGGCTTGTCCCCAAGGTGGGGGACGATCTTCACCGGAAGGTCGTCCAACTCCAACAGGTTATCTGGTTCAGGGATGGACTCGGCTTGCGTGGAGGACAGGCCCGTCAGCTCCAGAAGAGAGTTGTCTTCGTCGGGTTCCATGTGGCAGCTGACCCGAGCGATAACCTTGCTGACGATGCGGTCCAGTTCCAGCGCGCTGAGGGTCTCGTTCTGTGTGTTTTCGTTGACGGGGTTTGTCATGTTGCAGCTGGAGATCTCGTTGATGATGATGCTGGCCACTTGTTCCGGGAAGATCACTTGGTTGGTGGTCATGTCGTTGTAGAGTTCCTGCTGGGAGCCGGATTTCTCCATGACATTGCTAATGACCGAGTGGACCACTTGGTTGACCTTCTCTTCCAACTGTGGGTCCAGCGTGGGCTGATCTTCAGAAGCCACGAGGCCAATCTTGTTCTTGGACATTTCTTTCTCCACAGAGGTCTTTAGGAGCCCGACAATTTCATTCACGTCCGTTTTAGACAAGCTCTTCTCGTGAATTCCCAAGTCATACTGTGCAAGGAAGACACTGGTCAGGAATCGGCTGAGGATCTCCTCCAGGAAAACCACGGGCACCACTGGGGTTTGTACACCCGAGGACTTCTTCTTGGCTTTCTCCGCCTCCATGTCTCCAAGGAACTTCTGGATAATCTTGTCAGATTCCAGCTTTATGGCCCTGCTGGGACTTGGAGACTCCTCCTCAGACTCAGAACCGGACTGAAAGTCCCGCTTGGAAATCTCGCTCACCATGAAACAAGCGACCCGGTTGGCAAAGTCCTGGTTCTCGTTGGTCAAGTCTTCGTACAGAGAGGTTTCCGAGCTAGAATGCTGGAGGATGTCTGTGTAAACAGAATCAACCACCTCCCCAACTGTCTGGCTATCCTCTGAGTCCAGGTCTTCCATGTCGTCTGGCTGTCGCACTTTCAGCTTGTTCTTGGAAATGAGCCCTTGCAGAGAGTTAATAATTCTCCTTGCCACTTCCCTCACGGAATCCAGGTCTCGTTCATCCACGTTGTCCATGGGAAAGGTACAGAAGATTTTCGAGAGGAGTCTGGCGGCAACTTCCTCTAAGATGATGATCGATAACCCCTTGAGGTGGGACCGCAATTGAGTCTTCGCTTTCACCGGCTTGGGGTCTTCTTCGTACCGCTCCTCAAGCTCTCGCTCAGCTTCCACCGCCTCTCGCTGCCGATTCTGCTCTTCCAAAAAGTATTCCTGCATCTTATTCCCAGAAACCTCCTGCAGGACAAACTCGGCGATCCTCTCCAGAAGGATGGTGCAGCCAGCTTTGATGCACTTCTCCACCGCCGATGGACTTCCAAATTCCGGCAGAAGGTGGTTATAGATGGAGTTGGCCACCGTCTGGCTCACCACACGGTTGGGTTGCACCCGATCTAGGTACTGCACCTCTGTGTTTTGGTCCTTAGAGAGCTCGGACATCACTTTGCTCAGGAGCTTCATGTGAACAAAATCAAACTCGGCACACTGATCTTCTATGTCCGCAGAGGTCGAGGCCGCTGTGGGAAGAGGGAGAATTTTGGACAAAAGGAAAGCGAGAACCTCATGAATGAACCTGTGGGACACGAGGAGCGGGCCTGGCCTAGAGACCAAGGGTGAGGGACTGCTTTTCTTCATCTCCCGCAACACCTTTTGGGCCATCTCTCCGAATTCAAAAGGCTTGCAGAGCGGGACCTGAGAGGTCTTCGCTGGCATCTCCTGAATCCGGTACCCCAGAATTTCTTTCTTGAGGGCACTTGTCAACCTCTCCACTAAAAGCCGCTGGCTTTCCTGGTCAGTACCGATCAGGCCTCCGGAACCCTGGTCTTGCAAGATGCCGCACAAAGAAGCATGGATGATCTTAGCCACTTCCATTTTCTCCACTCCTAGGGGAGGCGGCCCCCCGTCTGGGACCTGCAGGACTTTCACCGGAGACTTTGCAAACTCTTTTAATAGGGACTCAACCAACGTCTTGACGGGGGGCTCTGCCTCAGCTTCCTTTTTCTCATGCCCAGAAACACTGGGAGTCGATGAAAGCAACTTGCTTATGAGGCCGCTAAAGACATCCTGCAAGAAGGTGGATGAATAAATGCCTCCACTATCCTCAATCTGCGTCAGCTGGGGCTCTCCACCCCCCAGTTTGACGTGATGGATTGTCCAGCCGGTGGTTTTTGCAGTAAGAGTGGAAGAAAGATCAGACTGGCGTGGAGGAGAAGGCAATTTCAGAGGTGGATGATCTTCTGTGGTCGTGCTTCCATGCTTCCTGTCTGGGGACCGAGACCTTTCGCAGACAGTTTTGTAAAGGTTTCCGACAAAGCTTTGGAAGCTTTTGCCTGTGGGAGCACCTTCTTCTTCCTTCATCAGCATCCTGGGAAGACCTCTTTTCACCCCTGTGCCCGTGGTTGGGTCGTGGGAATCCGCGGAGCCACCGGAGGTCCACGACGGAAATATTCTGTGCAGGATCTTGCCAAACATTTCTCCAAACACGGAGCCAGAGGAAGGAGGTTCTGGGAGGATGGTTTCCACTCTGTCCACAATCGTCTCTGCTTCCAGGAAAGAGAACAAGTAAGTGGAGGTATCCCCAGTGAACAAGGGCATCAGCTGGTATCCTGAGATTTCTCTGATCATTAACAGGGCAAGTTTTTCTGCTAGCATGCTGCTGTTGTTTTGGAAAGCCTTAAAAACCTCAAGCTCGGACCCGCACTGTTGCAGCAACTTCTCGTAAATGGCGTTGCTCGTCTGGATCACATCGTCGACAGGGGCCTGGGGAAAAGACGACTCTTCCCCGGCTGGATGAACCACCTTGACTTCCAGCATTTTAAATTCCATGACTAAAGCATGGACTAGTTTGACAACCAGATCTCTCATCCCGCCCTCGGATAAATGGCTGTCTTTGGCATATGGCAAAATGTTTGGGGAAGACAAGATTTTGCAAAAGAAAGCCACGACGATGTCCTCCAGAAACAGGGCGGAGTAGATGCGCCGGGAAAATGGATGTCTCGCGGCCTGCCACTGAAGGCATTCGCTGTTGGAAGCATCGCTGCCACTTAAAAACGGGTGTAGGTGGAAATTCAAAATCTCTCTTATGACCAGACTGGCAGCTTCGGGGACAGCACTGTTCCTGGGGTCTGAGAGAGTGTCTTGAAGTTCATTTGAGGATGGATACTTCTGCAGGATCTGGTTATAAACCGAATGGGCAATGTCTTCCTCTGTTTCTTGATCCATGTTTGGAATTCGCTCTGAGACGTTTTCCAGCTTGATCTCGTGGGCTGAGATCTCGGCGATGATGTAGTTCTTCAGGTTCACGGCCATCTCGAGGAAATCCTCTTCCGAGAAGTCCACCTGCTTTCCGAGACAAGCGGCGATACTGTCCGGAGTAGGGAAGATCTTCTCCAGAAGCTGATGGAGCATTTTCTCCAGGACGCTGCAAGGAAAGACGGTCAGGCGGGTCTCCGGAAGGTCCCCCGTGCGAGGCAGCTGGCGTTGGGGCGCCCAAGACTGGAGGTGGTACTTAAACATTTCGTTAATGATGAAACAAGCTATCTGAGTGACATACAAGTTGCTCAAGTTATCCCGGTCTTCCGGGAAAGGCTGCCTTAACAACACCTCATGCAGAACGTCACAGTACACGGACTCCACCATGTTTTCAACGGCTTCTTCAGAAATACCGACTTCTTCCTGGCTACCGTAAGTGCTGGTCCAGATGGCTTGTTTCAGGACCTCTTCCATGATGTCCTTCTTGATCTGAGCCACCTTGTTCCTCAGTTTGGGTTCAAATGGACCTTCCCCTTGTCCCGAGCCAGGAGAGCTGCTAGAAAAGGATGGGAAAATCCGGGACAGCAGCCTGTCGACAATGGCCTCCAACACTGGGTAGGAAAGCACAGTCGTATAGATCTCTGGAGGCTTCATTTCTGGGTCCTCCAGATCCACCGACAGCCTTTCCTTAATGAGACTCATGGCTTCTGCCACGCTGGGAGGGCAGGCCGACTGAAGCAGCTGGTCTGGGGCCTCCTCAAAGCTGAAGGCGGCCGTCTGCTGAGGCAACATCTCTCTCTCGTCGTTGGCGCTTCCCTCCGGCAGCCAGCCTCTCTCAGCCTTCTTGGAAGGCGACCTCCGGCTTGTCTCTGGAGGAGGGGAGCCTAGCGGCACTTCGGGGCCTTCCCGGACATGGAGCTGAGCTTTCTCGAGCTCTTTCGTAAGCGACTGGGCCAACCTCACGGCCGCCTCCCCTAGGTGGTCCCCAGACGCGCTGAGGGACATGTCCGAGAGAGCGCTGGAGAGCTTCGAAAGTAACTGGGAGGCAATTTCTTTTAGGAAGGAAGAGGCCGGTGAACCTCTCTTTTCCTCCTGGGTGGCTTGTCTCAGGTCCAAGGGCTTGATTGCCGTTCTGTAGATTTCCAGTCCCCCCGTCATTGAGTCTCCAGCAGCAGCTCTGTCCGTCGGCGGAAGAGGTTCCTCTCCAGAAACAAAAGGCTGGAAGTGTTTCTGCAAAACCTCTGCGATGAGGAAGCTGGCTATGCGGTCAATCAGGCCGCGGCTCTTATTTTCCACCTCCCTCTGAGCCGCTTCGAGTGAGCCCGATTTCTGGATGATCTTGCCGCATAGGGAGTCCGTCATGCGCTGCACCTCGTCCTCGGAATATTCATACTGCTCCGGCTCTCCTTCTTGAGCCACTCGGATCTCGTGCTTTAAAAGTTTCCTCCGGACATCGTCGAGCAACTGGGACGAAAGCGTGTCGATCTCCGCCTCCGACAACAGCAGCCTCTCCTCCCAAGGAATGGCGGCCTCTCTGGGTGGTGTGGAAGGGAAGATCTTGGATAGGAGTCCCATCAGGAAATCTTTCAGGAATCCCGAGGACAAGAAGGTACTGAAGGGCGAGCTACTCTCATTTTCCTCCTGAGTATCCAGAAAGGTGTCCTCGTCCACCTTTCCATGAACATCCTCAGGATGTGGGGCTGAAGCTGAACCCTTGGATATGCCTCCGGAAAACAGGGGATGGAGAAGGTTATCGGTGATCTGCTTTCCCACCAGGAGCTTAATGTTTTCAAATATGGTATTCTCTCGTGCAGAGGAGAGGCCATCCTCGGGCGCGACGCCTCTTTCTTTTGACATGACGTCGCACACGGAGTCAACCACATCGTCCATCACGTCCGTCAAGGGGGCTCCCAGGCTGTGCTCATCTCCTTTCCGGTTTCCCGTTACGGCAGCTCTGCCAAACTGCAGATTGATGGAACTGGCTAGCCTTTTGGCCACTTTGGCAAGCTCAGCTTCGCGCTGCCCTTTGCCGGAGTCTTTCTGATCCGCGGAGATGCCGAAGATCTTGGACAAGACCCTGGAAACGATGTCCTCTAAGGACTTGGTAGGGAAAAGCTCTGCACGAGACACGGACGGCTCCATGATGCTGCCCAGCACCGTCTGGACAATGTTCTCAGACAAAGCTTCAGGACCTGGGGTCCCCACAGCGTGTTGGTCTTTGGAGAAGAAAGTCTGAAGATGGTGCTGAGTGATTTCTTGAATGATGAAGCTGGTTAAGCTATCGATAAGACCGCTGTTTCGGCACGTCACCTCCTTCTGAACAGACAGGGGCGAGCCAGATTTTTCCAGCATGATCCTATAAACCGAATCCACCATGCCCTGGATCTCTTTCTCCGAGTGTAAACGGCACTGGTCGTCCTTTTTGGCTACCCAGATCTTGTGTTTCGAAATGGACTTCATCACTTGTTGGATCATATGGGTGCAGAGTTCGTCAAAATCAGCCTCCGACAGCCCCCTTTTCTCCTCCTTCGGTGGGGCGCCCTCTGAGGGAGGGAAGAGCTGGGCCACAAGTCGGTTGATCACTCTTTCTAAGTACTTCTGAGACAGGATAGTAATGTAGGTGGGAGGGGAGTGCCTCTTGGGCTTTGGAGTTTTGGGGAAATAGATGCAGGGCTCGATCTTCCGGATGATCTGTTCTGCTTTCAGATTTCTGTAGAAACTCTGAGGTAGCCTTGTGCACAGCAGCGGTGGCAATTGGTAGTCCAGAATTTCCATCAGGATGATCTCAGAGGCCCTCCCAGCCAAAGTCTCTACGTCCCTCCCTATGTCTCTGTCAGCAGCTAGCTGGAACCCAAACTCTCTTACAATGGAGTCCACTATCCGATCCACAGTCTGGCTGTCCACCGAGGGGAAGAACCACTTCTCTTCTGCCCGTGGCAAGACACCGACACCAGCTCTCTTAAACTCTTCCACAAGAGCATTTACAAACAAGGTGTTCATCTCGCGCAAGTTGATACAGGAATCGCTGCTGTATTTGCCCTGAAGTGAAGAGAAGATCTTAATCAAGAGCTGGGAAGTGACTTCTTCTAGAAACAGGGAGGAATAAATGACGGAAAAATCTCCCTGGCGTCGGCCGTGGTCCCCGTGTCCTGTCACGGTCACCACCTCCCTTCGATATGTTTGCTTGGTACAGGTGCTTGAGAAAGGCTTCCTGGCGGCTGGCGGGCCCGTGGGCACCATTCGCCGGGAATCGAACGCTCTGTGCTGCACAGCCGTGTCCAGGATGCTCCTGTTCCTCTCGTGGGCGCCCCTCCGGATGGGACCCCTTCCTGGAAAGGCCCCCTTGGGTTCCAGCTTCCTGCCACGAGGCAAGGAGGAATACGCTCCGCTTTTCGCGTGCCGCCCGTGCTTTTTAGGAAAAGTGTGCCCGCGGGCCTTTCGGGAGCTCGGCTGGGTGAACCCGACTGCCTTCTTGGAGAAAGGCTTCATATAGGCCGGTGGGTCGAGGCTGAGGGAAAGCTCTGTCATCACAGGCTTCACTAAGGTGTGAGCCAAGATGTCCAGGGCAGATTCGTAGGAAGGGGGCCTGGACTGCGTCTCGACCCACGGCTCCTCCGTGTACTTAATGTTGTACGAGAAAACGGAGGTGCTAGAGTCCACGTGGTGGGCTTCCAGCTCTCTTCCTGAGTACGGGAAGGGCTCCTCGGCGCCAGTGCCCTTCCTGACGTCATAGAGTTGTTCCTCTTCCGGGAACTCATCAAAAGCGAAAGGGCCAGTGAAGTGGTCTGTCATGAGGCATTTGTCCAGAAGGGACCGGATAAGCTTCTCACTCACAACATCCAAGAGGACCACCGATTTCGGGGAGAGTCCCAGGTTGCCGCTCAACATGTTGTGACTAAGCTTGGAAGCGTGTGGGCACACAGAGGAAGACAGGTTGTTTTTCTTTGAGGGCAGGCCCGCCTCTTGATAAGGCATCTTATTTTGGGTGTCCCAGAAGGACCCAGAGAAACCTCCCTGTGACTGGTCAGGCCAGAGCGAATCTAAAATGATGCACAAAACCTTGTTGACCAGGCGTTTGGACTCGCCCGATTTCAAGCTACGGATGAAGCTGTCTAGGTTAGAGGCCACGGAGCTGAGACGGGGGTTCTTCCAGGCCAGCTGATGCATGGTAGAGAGGCAGGCCGCCCCGCTAAGATCTTCAGGGCCTCGGCAGTCCCCTCGGGAAGCCCGGCTAAAGCACACCGGAGAAACGCTGTCGTGCCGCTGAAGCAGGCGGTCTCCCGCTCTCCCTGAATCCCCAAACTTCCCTCTCCATTCAGTTTCCAGGCACAGAAGGTGGCCCACCTCCTTCACGAGGAGATGGTAGACGTCGTCAAAGTCCGCCAGGCAGAGGGGTGGGATATAAATGTACTTGGACCTCTTGGTCCGGCTGCTGCCTTGCTTGCTGACGCCCTCGTGCAATACTCTTCGCTCGCAGAGGGTCCCGACAATCACCTCAGAAATCTGGAAGGCCAGTTCCTTGATGTTAACGAAAGAGCTCTTGGGGCCCCTGTCTGGGCCATCTTCAGGGCAGCTGGCATCGACAGAGCAGAAGACGGAAAGGTGGTTCTCAAATAATTCGTTTCTTTCTCGGGCGTTGTATCGTATGCTGGGATTTGAGATGGTTAAGAGGACGTTGGAAACGACTGTGAGGGTCAAAGGCTCCCAGAGTACCTCAAGGCAGGAGGAGGGCTTCCGAGATGTTGCGAAGTAGGAGCTTCTCCAGATACGCTCCTGAAGCCACCTCGACTCAGACTGAAGCAACTCCTGTTTCCACGCTGGCCAAGAGGCCGTCTCGTCTGAAGCATCTGCGGGAGTCAAAAATAAGCAAGTTAGAGTGTGCTCTGATGGGCGGTTGTCCAGCCACTTGTTCCGGGCTGGGATGGTTTGCTCCTTTTCCTGGTGACGACATGACTTATGCGCCATTGCGAACCAGCCCGTCTCTTGACCGATGCCTACCTGCACCTTTTTGAGTCCCTATCAGGGGCTGCTGTTATTTTTGTGTCTGTGTGTGAGTAGGATTTATTTTGTTTTGGTTCTAGCATGTGTGATCACGGTCCGAGAACCAAAGCAGCTGGCCAACTATTCCACTTGCAGTTCTTTTTAAGTGTTGCTAACGCAACTGCAATGATTTGAAAGAGCTTTTTTTTAAAAAAAAAATCCGTTCCAAAGCATGGCTGAGGCACTGTGTCGGTTAGTAACAATGAAAAAGAAATGGAAAGCTTCGTTTCCTTTCCACTCTGCAGGCAAGTGGGAAGGAAGCTGTAGCGTTCACCCTAAGTTATGTAATAAGATATGTAATATTTATGAGTTATATGCTAATGTGGTTGAGAGGTGGGGCCTCAAGAGATGTTAAAGGCGGAGCCTGAGAGGAGAAGTCAAAGAGTCTGAGTCAGGGTTCGGAATCAGAGAGATATATATCGCATTTTCTGTGTATAAGACTATACTTTTGTCTAAAATCATTAGATTAAAAACTGAGGGTCATCTTATACATGGAAGTAAGCTGAGGAGAGAACAAAAACAAGTGGAGGGGAAAGCAGGGATCAAAGCAATCCTGCAGCACTTTGATCCCCTTTTCCCTGCACTTGCTTTCTCCACTTAGATTTCTTAATTTTGGATTAGAAAAGTGGGGGTCTCTTATACATGGGGGCGTCTTATACACAGAAAAAATATGGTAGTTTGGGGATCAGAGGAGTAATGAGTAACCTGTGATATTTAATATAGAAGATTGATATTGATGCTTGGTGAAACTGAAAGAATATGCTTATGAATTATCCTAGAAACCATCTGTAATAAATAAACCTGTTCTGTTAAAAAGTCAGTACTGAATGGACCTTCGTCTTTACTAAGTAAAATAAAGAGATCAACTGGTGGCAGCGTGTCAAGAGGTTTTGGTTTGCCTTTGTGAGCTCTGTGTTTGGGGAAACACGCAGGTGAACGCCACAGAAGCTTTCCATTTTTTTCAAAGTTGTGAAGCAGTTTAGGCAATACACGATGGATGAGCCGCAGCGGGGAATCGAACTTTCAGCCTTTGGCTCTGTAGCCAGATTCCTAAACCACTGAGCTACCCAATGGACTTAATATAAGCCCAATGTAATAACGAGCATCTCTGGTCGAGTTGAGTGTCAGCTGCAAGGTATCCTTAGACTCACCTTTCGGCCGGAAGCTAATGAGCTCCTTGATGACACTGAGGACAATGTGGTTGGCCAGCAGATGGATCTCGCAGGGGTCTGGGATGTGAGAGCAGGCCAGGAGTGCCAGGTCCTTGTGTCTCTCTGGACTCTTGGGCCTGAAGACAAACTGCTTGCTCTCCCACTTGGAAAGTAGGCTGCTTCCCTCCCGGGTGACCAGGCAGCTTTCCATCATCATGCCGTTGGTCTCCTCACTGGAATAATCCCCCTGCCTTTTCTCCCAGTGGTTCAAGAGGCTTGCCCTCTTCTGCTTGGCATCTGCCAAGACGGAAGAGCCGGAAGCACCCAGTCGAGGAGATTTCTCCTTCCGGTGGGAAAGAGGTCTGACTTTCTGGGACTCGTTCTCGAGCCCAAGCTCGCCAAGCAGGGTGCTGACGATCGTCTCGGCGGTTTGGCCCAGCTTCAGCGGGCAGATAGCAGAATAGCAAGTGCTGTCCGGAATCCGAAGAGCGGGGCCTCTTCCCAAGGGCTCGGCCCGTTTTTCTTGGCGGGGACGGTGGTGAGCGAGCCCCCCTTTGCTCTGAGGGCCTGCCTTGCTGAGCCCGGGAGTGGCTTCGGACTCTGCTGCTTTCTTGAAAAGCTTTTCCAAAACACTTCCTTCAGGGATAGAACTTTCCCTCGGAAGCCATTCGTCCTCCAGAAAATCGAGCCTGTGTTGGTTTGAGCCTCTGTTCTGCCTGCGTCTCCCGGGAGGCCTCGACCAGGGGGTGACTGCAGAAAAGGATGTGTATTTGTACCTGTCGGGGGGAAAATGGACATCCCACTCTGATGATTTGTACACGGAAGGAAATTTGGAAGGGACCTCCTCCTGCACTTCAGCCTCTTCCTCTGAGTAGACCACCATGCCGGGCACGTTGATTGGTGGGAAGGTATCCCTCACGTCAATCCTCCTGTACTTCTTGGAGGTCGTTTTGACAGGGGACACGGCGAGATCTTGAACGAGGGTTTTGTCCCTTGCAAAGGCTCGCCCTGACATTTCCAGCTGGAGGTTCTCAACCATCAGTTCTGAGGTGATTTCCGTCAAGCTCTCGTTGCAGCGATCCAGCATGACGCTGACGGTCTCGCTCAGCACCAGGCTTTCTGAAGAGCTGCTGAACAGGGTGGCTTCCTTCTGGACCAGCTCCCGGTCCAGCGTACGCTTGATGATTTCAAGGATGCCGCTGACGGCATTGTTGGCGTAGACGCCCAGCTCGGCTTGAAGCATCTGGACCTGCCGGAGGGCCATTTCGACGCACTCCCGGGTGATGGCGCCTCCTAGCTTGGAGAAGTCCAGGAAGTTGTGGGCCGACCCCAAAGTAGGCAGGGTTCCTTTCCCTATAGATCCTTGAAGCTTGTTCCTAAAGGCTTCCATCGTCGTTTCTGCCACATTTCCTACCTGCGTCGACAGGGAATCCAAAGATCGTGTGAGCTGTGCGAAAGAGAGGCTTTCTAAGGGGAATTTCACAATCTCAAAAAAGTTGCATTTGAAATCTCGTCTAAAATGCCGGGCAACAAAAGTCTCCAACATGACCAACACACACTCCACCGTTTCTTTGGCTATTTTGTCGATGGTGTCCATGGCACCTTTTAGAGAAACGTTGTAGAAAGGAAATTCCGGCTGAGTAAAGCGATGCTTGTGAACTCTCCCCGATCCTCTAAGCGCTGTCCGGTCCTTCCTTCGCAGGAAAGTGTCCTTTTCTGGGCCAGCAGGAACGCTGCACGCCAAGCATTTGTGGACGTTTTCAAACACGCTGGCCACGATGTCTCTAGCAATGGATCCAATCTCCGTCTGGGAGTCACTGTGGAAGAGGCCTGGCGCTTCCGCCCTCTTGAAGTGGTCGCAAAATAGCCTTTCACTGAGCTCGCCCGGGATCTTCTTCAGGATACAAACAGACGGCTCCAGATCACGGATTCTCATGAAAACCTCGCTAACGATGTTCTCCGCCACTTGTAGCATTTTGAGGCTTTCATTGATGTTGGCGTCCGTCCAGGGTTGCTGCTCGAAGATGTCTTTTAAAATGCCTTCCTTGGGGAGGACTTGCTTGAGGTAGGCGGCGAAGTCCTCATAAAAAAAGCCCTTGGGTTTCCCCTGAGGGGCCTTCACAGTGGATTCGAACTGAAAGGATATCTGGGTCGAAGGAAGGCCATCCGTTCTGTCATGCTGGGTGACACGCAGATCTTGGACCACGGAATGGACAAGGTTGCTCGCGCGGGAAATCTGCTCAGAAGACAACGTGTTGACCCTTAGGGTTGTCCTGTGGTAATCTTCGGCTTTAAATTCATCCATGAGGGTCCCCAAAACTTTCCCAACCACGTCCTTGGCGTAAACTGTCAAGTCGGATTTGGATAAGTTGACTCTCATGAGGGAACTTTCAGAGTCGTCTGAGAAGGACTGAGGCTGGCCTGGAAGCCCATCACCAGCTTGCATGTCGCACCGAAAGGTGGCGTGCCGTTTCCGTTTTTGTCGCACGGACGACGGCAGGACTTCTTCCAGATTGGAGGCAGCAAACAAGGCAATTCTGTTCAACACCGTTTGGACCAGCTCTTCCCCCAAGGACTGTGGCGGAGGCTGAAGCTGTGACAGGGCCAACGTCATCTTCCGGAGATCCGGTTTTCCAGAGAGACGAGGTGCTTCTGTGGAGCACAGGGCTTTATCGCTGCTCAGACTGTCCGCTCCTGACCCTGATTCACTGGAGCTAAAGAGAGTGTCCGCTACAACGTTGTACATCTTATTCAGGACACCATCCACAATCTCACCAGCCACGCCACCCGCGCTCATCTGAGAGACCGTCTCTGCCACCCCCTGGTAGGCCGAGGACTTAGAATCAGGGCTGATAAACAGGGAGTCATTTTGGAAACCTGGCCAATGGCCCAGATTGCCCATGATCCTTTGCGTCACCTGGTTGAGTACGTCCTCCACTCCGGCCAGCAAGGGAGATGCCCCTCTCTCTCTTGGCTGCCGCCTCCTAAAAATCCTTTTCAAGACCCTTTTGTGAACCTCGTTTTCGGTCAAAGCGACTTGGACAGACAAGACCTTGAGGAGGTCGTTCACCATTTCATTTGCAGAGGCGCTGTCTTCGTAGGGGAGGAGGTTTTGGCAAGAAAGCATCTCCCTTTCCAGGTCCTTCTGGATGATTTTCAGGATGGTGGAGGTGAGTTTTTCTGCACAGAGCCTCAAATTCGACAGGGAGTCCTGAACAGCCAGCTTTGCCTTCTCACGACAGCTCCGTCCCGGGACCCGACTCTCCTCCAGATGGGTGTTGAGTGACAACTGAGATTCCAACTTCTCTTCGGCAAACGTTTCCAGACGGAGAGAAATGTTATCCACCAGGTATTTCGCAATGCCTTCTGGGGAAAAGTCCCTTAACTCTGGAAGTTGCTGGGGACCGGCTTCCCCCTGGCTTCCAACTTTGGCCCTCCGGTCAGTCAGAGGTGCGAAAGGTTCAAACGACTTTTGAATGAGCTCAAAGAGGAGAGACTGCAGACGGGCTGAGAGCGGGCCCTTCTTGTGCAGAGCGGCTGCAAGACCAAAACTCAGATCTTCAAGGATGATGTCCACCAAGTCACTGGAAACCACTGAAACGTCCGATTTCACCATGGCAGTTGTCGGCAGGGCTTGGTCATCTCCTGCCTTAGGAACCTGTGATCTTTCCCCTGGAAGGTTCTGGAATTTCTCAGGACCAGAGCGTGGAGAGGAGGAACCACCCAACCCCAACATAATGGTGTGGTAGATCTCATTCAAAAAGGTTTCCACTGTGGTTTGGATCTGAGTTTGGAGGTTTCTCTTGTAAGTGGCGTTTTTCCTCAGAAGTTTCTCTAAGACACTCTCTCCCCACAGGAAGTGGCTTGGCGCTTCCTCGTTGTCGTGTTCCCGGGGAGCCACGATGGTGAAGACCATGCTGACAATGTGACTGGCCACGATGCTCTCGGAGAAGATGACAGGTGGGGTTGGGATCTTCTCCACTTCTTTATCCAAATTATGCTTCAAGCTTTTCAGCATCGTCCTTGCCACTTCCTCCGCATACGATTTTAAGTTGGCGTACGACAGTGGAAGGGCATGTTCTGGCTTCTCTTTTTCCGCTAGAAGGGAGTTACTGTACGAGTTGAAGATCTCTTCTAAACAGCTCGGCAAAGAGCCGTGCCGACTGGCCAGGATTCTCTGAAGCTCTTGCTGGATGGCGGAGCATACGTCTGAACCCGCTGAGGTTTTCAGGCTCTGCACATCCAGGCCTAATTGCGATTCCACTTTGGATGTGACGAAGCATTCTAGTTTTGTTATAAAGATTTCCACCAAATCTCTGGCTAGGTCTGGTTTGGACAGAGGGTTCTGCTCAGGCTGGCCAGCCTTGGTTGGATCTTCCTGAGGGGTGGTGGGCTGTGTTCCCCCGGATGGGTGTCCCCCGGATTCAAAGGTCATCTCTGGGTCTTTGAAGTGGACAGTCGGGAGGCTTCTGCCCGCCTCGGTGGGCTCTTTCAGAGGCAGGATATCGGTGATAACCACAGTCGAGTGTCTGCTTCGGAGGTCTTGTGGATCTGTCTGAGTGGCCTGCGAAATCTTCTGGAAGGCGGTTTTGA